GATAATGATTAGCCTGAAATTCATCCGATTGCTTCGAGTCGTTTTCTCCTCTCAACAACGTCTGAATCGACCGGCCGTTAATGCCGTCCAGTGACGTCACTCACTACCCGAAAACCGGGTAGTGATTTTGATTGGTTGATTGTCTAAACATTCGCATAATTATGTATAATTATGAAAAATTTTAGCGGGATTGTCGCTTGATTTTCAGCGGATCGCATCCCTGGCATGGCATTCTTTCGTGTAGGTCAAACATTTCGATAAGCGTAATCTTTATCTTAAACAGCAAAATTGCCCTTGTCTTCGAAACTGAAATGCTAAATTGAACTGCGAATGAAGAATCATTGCGGAGAGTCGGTAGGTTTTTCATTTAGAGCCGCTTTGTGGTTTCAGCGGCCGGTAATTTTGTTTACGCGAAGTTTTCTGAGAGCAATGTTATAATTCGACCTTCTTGCTATTTTCACCTTCAGATGTAATGATTCTGTTAGCTTTTCTTTCTTGTTTTCTTGTTTTTTTCTTCGTTAAGGACCAAATAGCTTCTTTTCAATTGAAGCAAATCATTGTGTTTTTGAACTAAGTGTTTCGTGTGTGTGTTTATTTCATTGCGTGATTGCGACCGAGTTTAATTATAGAATTCAGTACAACCGGTTCAGTGTTGTACTGCATGCAGTTTATAGTTTGAACGTTAAACATGAATTACGATCGAAAAAATAAAGTAATTCTGTATCATGCAGACATTTCCAAACGATATTTCTCGCTTTGCCACTTGAAAATCGTGTTTTACTTTTTGCATGAATTAAAGCAAATGTCAAGGAGTAGTGACGTCACTGGACGGCATTAACGGCCGGTCGATTCAGACGTTACTGAGGGAGTAATAACGACTCGAAGTAATCGGATGAAATTCAGGCTAGATAATGATCTGGTTTATAATAATAATAATGATTTATGTACGTATTATGCGTCACTTAACATGAGAATGATCAGCTGCTCATTACAACTGCATTACTTTACAAGAAACAAACAAAAGATAATTCATTTAAAAAAATAACAATAAAAGAATATATATCCATACAAGTAAGAGCTAAATACAAAATTGATCACCAATATACGGTTCTAAAAAGATAAGTCTTCATATGCGCCTTAAAACTGTTCACATTAGTAGTCGGACGAAGTTCTTTTGGAAGAGAGTTCCAGAGCGTTGGCGCTGCTACCATAAAAGCTCTATCACCTAACGTATTCTTCGATCGAACAGCTGGCATAGAAAGTAAAATACTACCTGAAGATCTAAGGTTATATAAAGACGATTTAAAGGCCCATGTTCACCCTAGATGCATTGCGCGCCCTGTACTCCAGAAAAAACATTTCGCGTAGTTGAAAATCGCAGCCTGTAGTGTGTAAGGTCAATCTTTGTTAATCTTCTACAGTTCGCTAAATCTGGTTTAACAGAAAGTCTCAACAAGTTCTTTTGGTATTTTTCTTTACATCTTCTTGGATATTTTGGAATGATATCGAGCCTTTTTGTTTCTGTGAGAGTTTGTTTCACTGCAGCACTTTCGATGGCGGCTCCATCGAAACGAACGGTTGGAAGCATGGTTGGAAGACCGCGTCGACGGGGGTCGCCGAAGTACATTCGTCTCTGTGAATCCGTTTTTTTAATCCCTGGAAGGATGGGAAAGAAACTCTTGGCTGTAATTCTACAGACAGCGTGTTTGCCGAGTTCCTTCTACATCGAATGTTCAATTGTAAACAAAGGTCCCGTTGAAATCAGTTGAAAGCAAAACAAGCGAGTCAATCTAACATGAACAATGCTTTATTTGATTTAACCTATGAAGCGAGTGATATCCTTAACGTAAACTTATCGTCTGGCGTATCACGATTAAATTCGGCTCTAAAGTAGCGAGAACTCTTATTAGCAAACCAATCCTTAGCAAAACCTAAAGAAAGTATAATACAGCGATCACAGCGACAAGACCGTACGCAGTGCCGATTCGACGCTTTGCAAACACAACTTCTCGCTTATTCTTTCGAGCACACATACCTAAGCTTCCTAAGAATTAACACAAAAAAATAGATTGAAGAATCAAAACATTTCACAGTCGAATCGGGCTTCAGGAAAACCTCACCTGGTGCTTATTAGACGTTTCGTAATTTATGACCTTCATTGTGTTCATCGGACTCAACAAAGCATCCATATGCATTCACTACCAGTTTAAATTTTGAACTGCTTTCTGCGGTGACATTTAACCCCGGGCATTTAACGAAGTCGGCGATATATCTTCCTCCATTTGAAAAAGAATTAAAAGTCTTACTGGCCTCTCTGATAAAAAGCTTCAATTGTAGTCTCCCTCGCAGTCGTTTTTAGTATAGTCACGCAACGCTCCTCACAGTGGAAGCCAATCAAAACACTGCATTTGACAAAAGAATCGTTTCAAAACAAAAACACAAGCGCGCAAAGCCGTTTGGGTGAACATGGGCCTTTAAATGTTAGTAAATCGCATAGATATTTAGGAGCAAGGCCGTGAATTGCTTTAAACGTAATAAGCAGTATCTTAAATTGTATCCGGGCGTTAACAGGAAGCCAATGCAAACCACGAAGAAGGGGTGAGGCTAGATGTGTAAAACCTAGGCGCATTACAAACTAGCCTTGCTGAGCGGAGTTCAAAACTCTCTGCAATTTGTTAAGCTGGTAGTTGGGCAGCCCATACAAAAGACTGTTGCAATAATCAACACGAGATTTAATAAATGCATGGACAAGCATTTCAGTTGATTCTCGAGACAAATACTTGCGATTGGGGCTGAATGATACATGCAACTGTCGTCCGCGTAGCAGTGAACTTTTGGGAGGTGGCATTCAACGATCTGAAACAGTTTGCGCGAGTAGATAGCGAAAAGCAAGGGGCCCAAACAAGGCCCTTGAGAAACACCTTGTTTCAAAGGAAACTGATCGGTGAGACTACCATTTACAGAGACACGCTGGAACCGGTCATATAGAAACGATTTAAACCAGGCAAGCACATTGTCAGTTATTCCCAAATCAGACTCAATACGACCAATCAGCTTATCATGATGTATCGTGTCAAAAGCTGCTCTTAAATCTAATAATACGAGCAAGGTGACATGGGAGTAACATTATTAGTAACCATCCAGAAAATTTCATCGGTAGCAATCCAAAAAAGACACTGATTTGACGTCGTAAGTATGGAAACATAAGTCTTACCGTCGTCTTTTAGTTGCAAGAGTCCAAAGAACGGCCTCCAGTGTTTTCAACCAAGCTGTCTTAATTCTCTTTAAATGTAATGGTACTGTACATAGGGTGTTAAATATATAAAGATTCAATACGTGATGAGCCTGATAACCATGGAAATGGGGGTTTCAGCGCATAAGTGTGATGAAGCGGTGATTACGAAACTGGGAGTTAGAGGTTAGTGGCAGCCATGCATGTTTGTGGTCAACAACGAAAGGATTTCTTTCCTAAAGGAAAACAACTGTTTTCTTCGAAAACAAAATTCCATTTTATTGACCCCCAACATAGCCGCCTTGTAAAGTGACTGCAAACCAAGAATTACAAATCAAAACTTCCAATGATATTTCTATTCGTTTCTTGAATCGTGACATACGAACGACTCAGTACAATTTACAGTCTAACTTGCAATATTCAGTCTTAAACTCATTTCGAAGAGATAAAACCCTTTCTTTAAAATTTCAAGGGGTTAGTACTGGTTACGCCTCAGTAGTTTGTGTGGTAAGCATTTTCTTTTTTTCCGGCAGCGTTTTTTTGAAATTGGCTTGCTGCATATAGATCTCTTTGTGGTATAAATGGGTACAAAGTATTGGCCCATATATGGTTTACAGAGTGGTAACTAGAAGTTGAGTGAAGGTATGAATATCATGTATTAGAACTACGGGATAATGAATTAGAATAGTGTCACGCACGTTAACGCACGTAAATTTTAATCACGTAAATAAAATAGAGGCAAGATAAAGAGTGTTAAGATCAACGAGGTTCAACTTTTACACTTACGAGCGACCTTTCTTGCATTGCTTATATTTTATTTGCGAACGTAAATTTTATGCACGTACGCACGTAAAAATTACGCAACAGTGGAAATGTAAAATATACTAGCAATGTATGAAAGGTCGCACGTAAGCGTAAAAGTAGAACCTCGCTCAACTAATCTCAACACTTAATATTTTGCCTCTGTTTTATTTACGTGATTAAAATTTAAGTGCGTTAACGTGCGTAGCCAAAAACGCGTCGGAGGAAATCAACCTTTAAGATGATCGACACCATAGGGTCAACCTATTGTTGCAAAGAGAAAGCCTCATGAGTCTAAGCTGTCCTGCATTCGAAGCTATGACCTCTATGATACCGTTTCAGTACTCAAATAAAGTGAACTAAAAAGCCAAGTGAGGCCTGATCAGTCAGTCGGCACGTCACGCCCTTGAAGGACAACGTTGAAATTATCGTTATGTAAATCTCTATTACTTGTGAGGTATGATGAATAAAGCTTTTCAGCCTGGGAAGATCATCCCAGTTACCCACATTTTTTTTTTTTTGTTACAATCTGGTCACATATAACTATGCCATGCACTTGAAATAAAATTCGATTTTATTGCAGTTACTGCCTGCAGTATATGAGTTGTAACTACCGAAAATCCGAAAATCTTATTGCTGACTTATTGAGGCTTAATGTTCCTATAAAACTGTTCCGCGTAGAAATTACGTGTCGAAATAATCATCGATTATTTATGGGTGCCTTTTTTATCGGGAATTTCTTCGATAGATGATAAAGCCTCAGGTACTATTTCACCGGCCCGTCGGCACCTTGTACTGTCGGGCCACGGGACAGTTTGAACGAGGACGACAATTAACAGCACTGGCGATTCTGACTTATTCTGCGTTTTAAAAGTTCCGAGGATGTATGGAAAATCGAACCAGTCAGATTAAAAAAAAAAAAAAGAACATTCATGCATAATTTTCATCGCAATTGCCATTACAAATGATGGAATTCGTTGTAGTTGCCAAGTGTGATAATTTTTACACGTCAAACTCGCACGAGGCTAACCAAAAAAAGGTAAAACTAAAACTTTGTTTGCTAGCAAGGATACTGATGTGGTTGGATAGACAAAATCTCTTAACGTATTACTATCGTCCTTGACACACCTGTTGCGCAAGAAAGATTAGATTAGCAACACTTGTTGCGCAAGAAAGATTAAATTAGCACGGAAATGAGAGAACAGCATTTTTGACTTAGCCCATGCTTCCTGACATCTGACTAAGGAAATAATACAGTGGAACCTCGATTATAACGAAGTGCCAAGGGATTGGCAATATTTGTTCACTATAAAGAGGTTTCGTTATATCGATGTTCTTTTTCATATATTTTACTGTTACTGGGGTAAAGAAAATCGTTCGTTATATAGAGGTTCCACGGTCGTTCCCTTCCTCAAAATCAGCAACTAAGAAAATAATTTTCTTCGTCTCAAATTCGTATTGGAGCAAGATTAAGAGTGTAGTCATTCGGGCAGCATGCGTGTAAAGTCGTCGCATTTGCCAGTTGGATTCTTTTGGCAGAAAATGCAACGGCTATACGCGTATCACGCCGCCAGTGAGTACAATGAATCACGACACCCTTGAGTTTTAAGTAGTGCTAAGCTTAATCGCGCAAGACTAATGAAACACTGAAGGAATGAAATACCAAGGAACACAAGTAAATTCAGCATAGTAAAGAAACTGTACTTGAATTTGAAAGAAGAAACTGCCTTTTCTTTGTTACAAGTCCAACTCAAAATCAAACTTAGAATTGGCGACTCACCGATCGAACATTTCATTTTTTACTGACAGTATTTGCTCAAGCAAGCTATTCTCTGACTGAAGTCTGTGTTTCAACAAGGAAGTTAACGATTTCATCATCAATTAAGGTTACTGATGCATGAAATACATTGGTCTTTTGTTTGCTTTCAGTAAAACCACAGGTCTGAAAGCGTAAGTGGTTGTCTTTACATTAGGCTGTTAAGTAAGACTTAAAAGCTGCTAAGTTTTACTTGACCAAAAATGGGTGTGTGAAGGCCCAAGTAAGATCTCAAGCAACTTTACTTTGCGTCTCATTAAAGTAGGAAAGTTCAAACGAGTCAACAAAGTTTCAAGTGATTTGAAAACCATCCTTATGACCGACTTAACTGACTTGCGGTTTCTTGAGCTTTGAGAACAGCAAAACATGTCAGTCAATCTTAATTATGTTGTGTCTCATCGGTTATGTGTCAAGTTTCTTATTCTAGTTGAAGTAATTAAAATTTACTTGTCTTGAAATATTTCTTAGCTTATTTAGGCTCTAGTGTAAAGACTACCAGTATGAATTTCGGTTAATTTAGTTTTTACAATTTTCCTATTAAAATAATAATCGGCGACTTAAAGAAACAGAGTCATCAATAGCAACTGCGACTGGAAAGCCAATTTTATAAATAGGATATTTATGAGTCTATATTGAGTAATACCTTGCCTCATAGGGACAAAACACTTCCGAGAATCTAAAACACTTCCGGAAATCAAAAACACTTCCGGCAATCCTAAACACTTCCCAGAATCCAAAACGCTTCCCAGAATCCACAAACACTTCCCATGCAGAATCCAAGAGTGTTTTGGATTCTGGGAAGTGTTTAGTCCCTACGAGCCATCGTGGAGTAAACTGGAATCGTTCCTTTTAATCTTAAACCATATCATTTTCGAAAGTTACTAAAAATAAACGCGGAACGGGGGACGGAGAACGAGTACGGGGTGAAGGAGAAAACGAAAAATGGGAGAAAATAAACAAAGAATTGGAAACGAGTTACCAGGGTTCAATTTAGGTTTTGTACACAAGTTTTCATTTTTCCTGTTTCCCGCGCTTGTTCCCCGCACCCCAGGGGGTGAGTGGCAGGTAAATAGGAAATGTTTTCTTTCTCATTGGCCGTTTTTATACTAAGGACGCATTATCCGTCTGGACGAACTTGGGCAAACATTTTGTTGTTCGTTTGGGGGATGTTACTAAAATGGGGAACGAGTTGTCAGCGGGAACCTCCATAAAAATCCAAAATGGCCCGTAAGGATCAAGAACCCGGTAAGATCGATGATAGAGAAGCGTCGAAACAGCACTTAAGGTCGCTATTTTACTAATGAACTATATGTTCATGAGGTGCTTGAAATAATACGGAGGTAATAATGTCATGACATTTTTCACCTTTTTGCGTTTTACTAAACAACAAAATATGCTCCAACAGCAGTTGAAAGAAGCTACAGTCGGGACAAAAACTCTCAAAGCACAGCCATATTTGGAACTCAAGCGAATCTATACTGGGTCTAACTCACAAAGCAATGAGCTACTTTTGCTTGACGCTTTTCGTAGGGTTTTGGCTTAAATACATGCTGAAAGATAACGTAGATCGAAGCAGCCAAGTGTATTTCCTCGACAGTAATAGTGTAGCAGTGGAGCTCCTTCCCAGCTGTAGCGTTTTTTCAAGCCCAGATTAAAACATGTTGGCGATGAGATAAAACTGTAAGTCTAATAATATTATATTTACAAACCTATGATGAGAAGTAAGTGCAATTGTATTATTTGAAAAGATAAGATGAATCAGGTTATTTAATACATCAATAAAAGGCAACTTTAAACATATTAACGGGCAATGTGCCAGGAACATCAATCATACCTTGGTCTTAAAGATGTCAGTTGTTTCAAAGCAAATGGCTATGCTGTGGTTTTTTTTATTGTAACCTAGGTTTAAATTTTGCTTCCCTTTGTTTGGGGGTACGGTAATATGAATTTTATGATTATGAGTTCAAATCAAAGAGGATAAAATTCAAACTTAGGATAAAAGTGAACCACAAGTGAGCTGCAATATTAAGTGTTGCAAGTATAGGTGAGGGAAGTACTTTAAAGTCTTTGGTTGGAAGGTACTTTCTCAAGGCTAGCTGTTAAAATATGCATGGTAAGTATACTTCCTCTGTTTAGCCCTCTGGATGCTTTTTTTTCTTCTAGGGGGACTCCTTTAATGTTTTTGCAGAGGGGAGCTCTGCTTCTCTTTAATGAACATTATTTTTACTGTGGAGAAAAATATTTCAAGCTCAGTGTAAAACAGAATGTATCAGTGACTTAAACCAGTTAATATTGTCAAGCTGCTTTATTAGCTTGATTCAGTAATATTGCAGTGCACCTGCCATCAAGCATCACATCATCAATGTTGCAGAGGTTGGCAGCTTATTAGAAGGTGGTTGATAAGCCTTCAAGCAAGCTGTCTGTGGTTTTGGAAATAAAGAGTCTAAGGTCTCACACAAGTGATAGGAGGCAAAAGATTGGAGTGCCGATATGTTTTTCAGTAAACACGCGCAACTGTATGTGTATAGTGGCCACATTACGCTTACTCAGTGCATGTAAAATAACACAATAGATCTTGCTACCCATTTTCCCTCATTTTATTTGCCCTCCAGGGGACATAATGTCTTTTAACATATCGGGGTTTTCAAAAAAGGGGCAAGAAGCTTTTAAATGAATTTTAATTCATTTAATGAAGCACACGGTATCAAAGAAATTAAAGAGAAGAATCAGACTAGAGTAACAGTAACCCAGAGGGGGGGGGGGGGGTACTCACCAAAGAGGCTCTGCCCCAGGGACCAACCCTGTACCCTTTGTATGTACCATTTTAGACAGAAAAGGTACCCCTTTTGTATACCCTCTAGTGACAAATGGTACCCCTTTCACATACCTAATTTTGAATGCTGCATCCCTTTTTAACTGCTGTAAATACACCATCTTTACAATATGAATAAATAGCTAAAACAGGTTTTCTTGTCTCTCACATCCATAAAATGCATCTGTGACTGATCTCATTTTGGTCCCTTTCATATACTTCAGCTATAAAAACCCCTTCCCTTTCATGTACCTGAAGCCTGAAAAAGGCTTCAGGCTCTGTTTAGGCTATTATAGTACCCCCTCCTCCTGCACCGAGAACAGTACTTGATACAGCGATATTATATAGTATGAATTGCACCAAGTGATAATGTTGCATTCAATGCAATCCAATGGTTTTGATTCAGGAAAGGGTCGTCAGGGGTATTTCGCAGAAAGACAAATGGCCACTGTACGACTTGATGAAGCAGTTACTGATTAGGGTGAGGAAAATGAGTGAATTAGGTTCCATTAGGGTCATTATACTGGTCTATACTGGGCAAACTGACCTGAAACAAATTGTTTCACAAAATAATAAAATGATATTATTCTATTTTCATGGATCAGTGAAACACTTTAATATCGTGAATGCTTGCAGTGTAGTAGATCTAATAATATTTAAAGCAGAACCAGATTGTTAAAGTAGTCTTACTAATTATGTGATGAAGTGGTCAATAACATTTTTCAAAGCAGTCATCTCTATCAAAGGAAATAGAAGAAAACTGCACACAAGCTACTTGACTACTTCGATGTATGTTATCTATCATGGAAAAGTAGTTCATTGCTTTGTGGGCTAGACTCAGTATAGATTCGCTTGAGTTCCAAATATGGCTGTACATGTGCTTTGAGACTTTTTGTCCCGATTGGCTTCTTTCAACTGCTGTTGCCGTTGGAGCATATTTTGTGTCCTACGGATAATTGTTTAGTAAAACGCAAAAAGGTGAAAAACGTCATGAAGTTATTACCTCCGTATTATTTCAAGCACCTCATGAGCATATAGTTCAAGTAAAATAACGCGGTTATCGGTTAAGTTTGTTTCGACGGTTCTCTATCATCGATCATCGGCCATATTGGATTTTTATGGAGGTTTTCGCTGACAACTCGTTCCCAGACTTCCGTTCCCCGTTCCCTGCTCCCCGCTCCCCGCTCCCCGCTCCCCGTTCCCCGTTTTAGTAACATCCTTCGTCTGGGTTATGTATCTCTAGTATAAAGACGGGTACAAGACGCACTGTTATGCGCCCAGACGAACTACCCTTCGTAGTGCGTCGTTCAAGACGTATTTCGAAGGAAAGTTCGTCCAGACGCATAATGCATCTTGTGCCCGTCTTTATACTTGAGACGCATAACCAGACGAACTACTAATGTTTGCCCAAGTTCATCCAGTCGGATAATGCGTCCTTTGTATAAAAACGGCCATAGACGCATTATCCAGTATAAAAACAGCCATTTTTTCCTCGCGCGTTGCGGTTGCCAAAATGACTAGTGAGGAAGTTTGAGGCCTTGAAGCGTTTGAAGCTTTTGTTGAAATAAGAACTGAATCCAATAAATTAGCTGTTCGAAATGCTGAACTATGTACAAAAAAAATCAAAAGCCTGAAGAAGAAGGCATCTTGCTAGACTGACTTTTGCCAACTTCTCGGTCAATTGAAAAGTGCTTCACCGAGAACTGCGCACAATTATAATTGGTTACTCGGCGAAAGATGTAGCCGATTCGATTGATTACTTCCATAAAATTAAGTTAAATAAATTAAGTCGTGAAAAAGCACAGTTTTTTGTAGCAGAAAAAAAGAAAAGAGAAGCCAGACAGTTAGTCGAAGGGGGGGGGGGATGTGGGAAGGATGAAAAGTATCAGCGTTAAGAAAACGTGCGTGGATCAGATCTTCATACAAAAGCATTTTGTCGCAATATAATATTTTTTCTTAGTTAAAATGCTTTTAACAGGTGAATTGTCAATGCTATTTTGAAGCTAGTTCGATTTTAACCTCACGATGACGTGTATGGATCTCATAGGGACAATGTCATCTTTTTTCAAAAGCACTTTGAAAGCACTTTTGAACAACGTCAGATAAAAAAATAATGGCTAGATTTTCATTTAAAATGGCTAAGATCAAGGCATTTCTTGGTTCAATCTTACATATTAAGGACACTAACTGAAATAAACAGTACAAAGCTCGGCATATGCAGGAGTATCAAAGATAGCTTTAACGTTTGGGAATCAAAAAGAACTTTGTTCCAAATTCAACATCTTAAAGATATAACCTGATTTCTGGGAATTTCCTTCATAACAAACAAGCTGGTGAATGAGAACTGTAGTCTTACCTTAGTTGTTGTAAATCACGTCCAAAGAACGTACAACGTTCTACCAAGTGTCTCTTGCTAAACTGTATAAGCTCTCTTTGTGTATCGGCGTATTATATATAGCGTCTTAGGCAAAAAGCGAATGCATCAAAAGACATGTGACGTCAAGCCAGCTCTGGCACCTGTGAACGATTAAGCTGATTTCAGTGCATTGCTGGAATAAGGTTAAGGACGCAGTTCACTACAAAGAAAACAAACAAAACTCTTCTGACAGTTGATTTTTTTATTAATTTTCTGCGCATTTACATCTCCACCTTATCAGAAAATGGTTTATTTAAAGGAAGAGAAGATTGTTTAGATAAAGTGTCGTTTTTTGCTAGAATTGTTAAGGTATAGTCCCCAGTTAAGGCAGTTCCCACTTCAAGCTTTAACTAAAGTTATACTGACAGATTGGCCCTTAAGCTTGTCAGACGAAGCCAGCTTATTAATAAGTACACTTTATTTCAAAAAGAATTAAAAGTTATTTTACGTATCATTTTTTACCGCTGAATTTCTCTACAATTAGGTAATAATGCCCTTCAGCAAATTTTTGCCCTTGAACTTTATTCATAACCAGCTTAAAATTCCCTGTGATATGGAAGGGACACAATCATGACTCTGATGGCTCTTGGGTTTGTCCATTGATCGATTCGAAAGGTCTAACTCTTGCATACTCCGCCAAAGACCTTGTGTTGTTCCACACCAGCAACTTACTTTTGATGACCATGTTTTAAAAACTACCTCATCCTGTGTGTCAAGTTAAATAAGCCTCGCAAATGAGTCGCGTTAAACATGTTTTAGATCGTAATCAACTCGTGACGGTAATAAATGCCTTAGTCTTTAATAATGAAATGACAGTGCTGTTCTACAGTGTGGTCAAACACATCGAACAAAAATATCTCTAGACTACATGTACAGTCAGTGCAGAACTTTGCCGCGAGAATTATTTCAGAAACCGGGAATGGTTACATAACCCCCGTATAAAATTAAACATCTGTTCTTCAGGGGCGCTGTCATGGCTGCAGGGCGTGTAAAACGAAAGCGTCCTATATTATATTGAAGTCAAGAGCCATTCAGAGGTCTTTTTAGTACAGCGTGGTGCACATTAATGGAAAAATTTAGACAGTACTCTTAAAGCCGCAAAATCGATTCAAACTTTTAGATTTTGCCTCAAAAAATAAATTGATTACTTCCTTTTTAAATAGCATCACTAACATGTAAAGATAGTATTCTATAATCATTCCAATCCTTAGTGGGATTGCGGATTCCAAAAGAAAATTTCCTAGATTCAGGAATCCGGATTCCCTAACTTGGGGCGAAAATATGCTAAGTCAGTAGAGTTGAGAAGGGACAAATTCCGTCTTGATAGGGATTACCTTTCATGAGCTAAAATAGCCAGTATTAGTACAAACCTCATTGACATGCATTAAAATTAAACACTATGAAAAGAAAACAGATCATTTTTCTTGTTTGTTTCGGCTACCTTAATCGCATGTTTTGGAAACCTCTCAGTGAGTCCTCAGTTGTTTGCAATTACATTGAAAGTAGTTTTGGTCTGAGCTATTTGAGTTCAAAAGTCATTAGAGCTCAACTTTCGGTCGTTTTCACCAGAATTTTATATGATTCATATATAATTCATTTCATATACATTTGTCACGCTATTATTATTATTATTATAAGGTTAAGGACGCAGTTCACTACAAAGAAAACAAACAAAACTCTTCTGATAGTTGATTTCTTGATTGATTTTCTGCTCATTACATCTCCACCTTATCAGAAAATGGTTTATTTTAACGAAGAGAAGATTGTTTAGATAAAGTGTCGTTTTTTGCTAGAATTGTTGAGGTATAGTCCCCAGTTAAGGCAGTTCCCACTTCAAGCCTTAACTAAAGTTATACTGACAGATTGGCCCTTTTGAGGGGCTGTGTCACGGCAGTCAGTTCCTTTTTTTCAATTTTGCCAGTTATTCGCCCTCAATCGCTATGGCACTTAAAGTACGCAACGAAATTGCATGTAAACAGACACAAGCAGAGATTCCAGACAAACAAGTATGTCTCCTGGGCATTATTTTCGAAATTGCAAACAGCAGAGATCAACTTTGAAAAACTGTTAGGCTGAACAGTTTTCAAAAACCCTAATTTCAGTCCGTTTAAATCTTCTTCAGTTTTGCCCATCCGTGGCATCTGTTGTATCTGTTTAAGCGGTTATTTTTCCGTTTCTCTTAATTTAACGGGCATTTTGTAATTACCTAATTTGGCTGAATTTCGTGACACAGCTCCTTTAAGCTTGTCAGACGAAACCAGCTTATTAATAAGTACACTTTATTTCAAAAAGAATTAAAAGTTATTTTACGTATCATTTTTTACCGCTGAATTTCCCTATAATTAGGTAATAATGCCCTTCAGCAAATTTTTGCCCTTGAACTTTATTCATAACTAGCTTAAAATTCCCTGTGATATGGAAGGGACACAATCATGACTCTAATGGCTCTTGGGTTTGTCCATTGATCGATTCGAAAGATCTAACTCTTGCATACTCGTCCAAAGACCTGGTGTTGTTCCACACCCGCAACTTACTTTTCAAGAACCATGTTTTAAAAACTACCTCATCCTGTGTGTCAAATCTTGCGCAAATAAGTCTCGTTAAACATGTTTTAGATCGTCATCAACTCGTGACGGTAATAAATGCCTTATTCTTTAATAATGAATTGACGGCGCCGTTCTACATTCAGTGCAGAACTTTGCCGCGAGAATTAGCATCAAGAACATGTAAAGATAGTATTCTATAATCATTCCAATCCTTTTTTGGATTCCGGATTCCATAAGCAAAATTATTCGAATCTGGATTCCCTAACTTGGGGCGAAAATGTGCTAAGTCAGTAGTCGAGTTGAATGGGGACAAATTCCGTCTTGATAGGGATTACCTTTCATGAGCTAAAATAACCACTTTTAGTACAAACCTCATTGACATGCATTAAAATTAAACACTATTAAAAGAAAACAGATCATTGTTCTTGTTTGTTCCGGCTACCTCAATTGCATTTAACGTCATCAATCCACCTTAATTGTTTTGTTTACCCTTTCTTCTTTCACTTTCCGCTCACGCGTACGGTGCTTGAATTGGCAGGTGGATGATTTTGGATGAAATGTGCTTGCTCGTGCTATTTTTGGCAAGTATGAGTCTCCTCTGGATGAACCATTCGTTGTCTGTCTTGTTGCAAATGACTTACGCTTGTACTCTCTGATTTTAATCTGTGAGTTAATTCTATTGCTGGCGGTTATGGCTAGTTTTAAAGGTTTCTCAACTCTGATTTCAACGCCATTGACAGCAGAGGCTAAATGATGATGCGCGACTCGCCATGCTTACAAGCCATACTCATTTACTGCTTTGCCATAAATACCTTCGACGGAAAGAAGGAAAAAATCACTAAATAAATATATCCCTGATTTTTTCCCTTTCCAATACTGACATTAGACATGATTCTCCCAGGGGTCAGCCATTATCCCCTTCAAAAGGAAGTTTATAAGCAAGGGAGAGAGCAGGCAACCCTGACAAACACCAAATGCTGCATTAAATCGGTCATTTTTCTTTTTGTTTTTTTTTTGGCCTTCATAAAGAGGAGAGGATTGCGCTGTTGTCGTTTTATCTTCGAAATTTCTGGCGAATTGATCAGCCATGATGCTTTACAGGCAGTTTTTCATTTTTTCCTACAAGTAACAATTTGCTAGATCCCTTTAACCCTTTAATCCTAGAGTGATTAGCATCAAGTTTCTTCTTGTAATATCAATGCTTTGTAAATCAGAGTGGTCATGGGAATAACGGACATGATCGCACAAGAAAAATTTGCTTGATATTTTATCATCTTCTTCCCGCTACTTCTGAAGGACGTGAATGGAAGCAACAAATAATAATTCAAATTTTGATCTTAGAGTTCAACGGGTTTTAACCTTTATTTTCTTGAACATTGTTGAGTTAGCTATCGGCTAACCGCCTGAAATTGCAAAAATATTAATTCACTCAAAACCTAGCTCAGTCAGTTTCCCTAGCGCTCCATTGCTCTTTTTGCAATATGTAACCGAGCTTTTGATAAAACTCTACTCCAGTGTTACTCAAACAGTTTCTCAGATTGAGAGCGATCAGACTGAAAACCACGGGGTTATAACTTGTACATCAAGACTGCGAGGCATCTTTTATTCATGGTTACACTTATATTTTTTTTATTCATTCACAAGTTGTAATAAAATGAATAAATATAGACCCTCTCGAGTACGTAATTCGTACACTTAATTAGTTCAGAATCGAGTAAGCGATGATTGAAGGCAATTGAGATTGTTAGAGGCTATTAAACGTAAAAGCCGTTTTCGTAGTTGTTATTTTTCACGCTTGTAGCCGCATTACAAGCCGCTGGCTCGATTTTCGGGGGATAGCGACGTTTAACGTCGCGATCTTCCCATATTTCTGAACCGCGAGGCGCCAAGTCTATTGTTTTGAACCAAGGGTTATATTACATCAAGAGACCCGGAGCCTATCTTAGAGCTGTCAACAATGTTCGTTTAATTGAGCAATCTTTCATCTTCGACACTTAAGCATAATATCAAATAGACTTCAAAAATACTGCATTGGAGCTTCACTCTTCGTCTTTAATTTTAGCCGACCCACTAAATAAACAATAAATAAGAACAATGCTACCGAAAAATAATTACAACTGAGAACTTGATGAATAAACAAGGAAAACAAATCGAGTAATCGAGATCGCTTGCTGTGATTCAAAGTTGCAATAGGCACGCAATAAGTTCGAACGTAAGCAAGCCAAGCGACGGGAATGTCTGCCACACGAACGTCTCGTATAAAGTAAAAAGCATGCCGGAAAGAAAGCTCTGCTCGCAGGGTACTTGATCCCATCTTACGATCTCAAAAACCTTGCAACAAAGAAACACAATTCCTAACTGTGCGGGGACGAAGGAATTAAAAGAGATGAATATGTTAAAGCAACGCAGGGATAACTTTCAATTTGGAGGAAAATATGAACTTAATCTGCAGCTTACAGTATTTTTTACAGCCGGTTTTTTTAGAAATTTGGAAGTATAAATCCAGGGATTAAATCTGTCAAAAATATATTTGGAATTTGAAACGAGTTTGGATAACACCCACGAGTTTGATTAACACTCAGGGAAAATCAGGCAACTTACATATACCAAGGAAGCTGGCTGAATGGTCAACGCGTCGGACCAGTAATCGGTGGTCTCGGGTTTATATTATGCAATCGATTACGTAACCCCTTTTTATACTCGGTCGTTATGAGTTCAAATCCTCAGCTGTTGCTTGTAAGAGGGTCTCAATGGGGTTAACCGTCAGCCGTCCATCAAACGGCCAAAATAGATAAATAAATATAAAACTGTGAAGTTATCTTAGCGTTTGCAGAAAGATCCTAAGAGCGTAGTCAACTTTTAGGCCATCTGCATGGCCAAACTAACTAAATTTTCATGAATTACGTCAGCGTATTATTCAGAGAATGCCATAGTTACGAGCGAATGTGCATTTGGTGACGTCACGGCCTAGTCACCCGTAAAAATCAACCCGGCCTCAGTCCATTTAAGGAAATAAACCAAAAGTGCTTACTCAAGCACCTTATGTACCACATGTACCATAGGCATTGTATGAATTTCAAATAATGAAAAACTTAACTGAAACTCAACTTTCTTGAAATAATATTTCCAGAGTACAGAAAGATACTGCACGAGACTTATCCACAGGTAGCATTCCATCTAATCTAGAAGGAAAAGTTAATCATTCTAAAACATTGCGAATTTTCGAAATCGACCTACGGAGACCGCGAGAAACAAATAGCGAGAAACTCTGTTAATGACAACATGCCCAAAGCGTTTTGTCATTGGAGCTCAAAGTTCGGTCGTGATTTAAAAGGTTTTTTTTTTTAATTCTTATCAGATGTTTAGTTAGAATTCCGATGTCTGGTGGAATTTTTGTTTTTCAAGGGCTAATAATGGAACGGTATAACAATTATTAGCCTCAATTCCCGGTCAGTTTCGCACTGAGTTCGAGCATTATCTCTCCTTCGGCTCAGCTTCCCTGTTGCTAAACTTCTCTCCTTGGTCATTTGGGGTACCAACTACTGCGTCAATTAGCCCCTAGATTTTCCTGTTTTTTTTTTTGTTGTTTTTTTGCCGAACGCCCGCTCTCAAACAAGGGCTTACGATATTCCGCAAGCCTTAGGGAAAAAAAAGTATAATCATGCTCTTCCATTCCCTAACATTATCAATCCACTTTTTTTTGTGTACTCCCTCCTCTTCCACTTCGGTCGGTGCTTTGCTGGAGGGTTTTAGATTAAATGTGCTTACTCATGTTGTTTTGCCTAATGCTTATCATTTGCATGAACCACTCGTCTTGTTGCAACTGGCTTAAGCTTCTACTCTCTGATTTTAATCTCTGAATTGATTCTGTTTCTGGCGCTAATATGGTTTAGTTTAGCTTTCTTAACTCTGATTTCCAAGCCGCTGGCAGTAGAGCTTAGTGCATGATAATGCGCCACTCACCATGCTTACAAGCCCTACTCTGTTAATGACAGCACGCCCAAAATGTTTTGTTAAAATTTTCTGAATTAAAGATAATGATCTCGTTTATGGCCGTTTTCATTGTTAACAATCCAGTAAAAGACACTGATTTGTCGTAAGTATGGAAACAGAAGTCTTACCGCCTTAATGTTTGCAGAAGTCTAAAGATCGGCCTCCAGCGTTTTTAACCAAGCTGCCTAATTCTCCTTAAATGCAATGGTACTATATATAGGGTGTATGAAATATAAAGACTCAATACATCATGTGACGAACCTGATAAACAATGGAAACGCGGTTTCAGCGCATTGGTATGAGGAAGCGGTGCACTAAAAAGAAAGTCAATATATGATGGTTTGCACGTGACGTGACGCAGGCCATGTTAGTGGTCAATAACAAAAGCATTTCTCTTCTCTGGGAACTCAACTCTATTTCCAAGTAAATTCTTCGAAAAAAAGTTATTATTGTACCGACCCCCAACACGGCCTCCTTGTTATGTGGTTGCAACCAAGAATTACGTAATCAAAACTTTCAGTGATATTTCAGTCAGTTTCTTGAATCTTGAAAAACGAACGAATCAGTACAATTTCCTGCCTAACTTGCAATATTTAGTCTTAAACTCATTTCGAACAGTTAATACCCTTTCTTTAAAATTTTAAGGGCGTACAGGTTACGCCTCAATAGTTCGTGTGGTAAGCATTTTTTATCTAGGAGCGTTTTTTGAAATTTGCCAGCTACATATAGATCTCGTTGTGCTATGAATGGGTACAAAGTATTTGCCAATATATGTTTTTCAGAGTGGTGACTAGAAGTTGATCGCAGGTATGAATAGGGACCTTAAGCAAGGGCGACGACGACGGCAGTGAAAACGTCGATAAAAAAATTAATATTTGCGGTCTTTCAAACGTAATCGCGTCTATTTGGACCCGCTCAATATGTCAAATGCAGTCGTTTTTTCCTGGAGTTGAATTTTTAAGGATTTTATTCAGGTTCAAAAAGAGGAAGGAAAAGTCGTCGTCGTATGTCCACGTTCTCTATAAAACGTCAAATTAGGAGGTTTCACGTCGAAGTCGTGCAGTGAACGTCAAAGACATGTACTAAAAATGGTGATGCACTTGCAGAGCTGTTTTTTTGATCATTAAACCTACTGTTTTTTTGAAGTCTCGCTGTGACCGTCGTCGTAGTTGCATAAGCTCCCCAATATCATGTATTAAATTACGGGATGTTGAATAAGAATAGTAGAAAGGCTGGTTTCCACTGACACCCTTTTGGCGACGCACGTTAACGCACGTAAATTTTAATCACGTGATTAAAATAGAGGCAACATAAAAAGTACTGAGCTTAAACAAGAAGTTAAGCAATGTTCAGATTTTACGCTTGCGAGCGACCTGTCATGCATAACCTCTATTTTTATATGCGAACGTAAATTTTACGCTGACGTACTCAAGTAAAAATTACGCGATACTGGAAATTAACCATAAATAAGATCGACACCAGCAGGAGTACTTCTTTGGTACCGTTTCAGTGCTTAAATAAAGTGAACTAAAAGGCCAAGTGAGGCCTGGTCAGTTAGTCGGCACGTCACACCCTTGAAGGACAACGTTGAAATCATTATTATGCAAATCTCAAATTACTAGTGAGGTATGATGAATAAAGCAAACTTAGGAAGTTGCGACTTGTCATATATAAATATGCCATGCACTTGAAATGAGACTCGATGTTATTGCAGTTACAGCCTACAATATATGGGTTGTAACTGAAAATCCCAAAATCATTATTGCCTACTTATGGCGGGTTAATGTCCTTACCTCACTGTTCCGCGTAGAAACTACAACGTGTCGAAATAATCATCGATTATTTATGGAGGCCGTTTTTGGAATTTCTTCGATAGATGGTAGGTGTTATCTCACCTGCCCGTCGGCACCTGACAACAGACTGGCGATTCTGACTAATTCTGCGTCTTAAAAGTTCCGAAGATGTAGGGAAAATCGAACCAATCAGATTAAAAAAGAAAAACAAATTTCACGCATAATTTTCATCTCATATAATATGCAATTACACATCATGGAATTCGTTGTCGTTGCCAATTGTGATAATTTATACATGTTAAACTCACATGACGCTAGCCAAAAAAGGTAAAACTAAAACTTTAAGCTTGTTTACAAGGATACTGAAGTGGTTGAATAGACAAAAACTCTTAAGTATTACTTCCTGGACATACGGGTTTCGCAAGAAAAATTAAATAACCACTTAGAAGACTCAAATTCCTATTGGAGCAAGAGTAAGGGTGTATATTCATTTGTTCGTTGGATTTTTTTGGCAAGAAAGCGCAAAGGCTATACGCGTATCACGCTGTCAATGAATCACGCCACCCTTGAGTTTTAGTAGCACTAAGCTTAATCGCGCAAGACTAATGAAACAAAAGGAATGAAAAAGGAAGGATTACAATTAAATTTAGCATAGTAAAGAAACAACTGCCTTCGCTTTGTTACAAATCCAACCCAATATCAAGCTTAGAATAGTTAGGCGACACACATATCAAACATCTAATTTTTTACTGACAGTATTTGCTTACGCAAGCCATTCTGAAGTTCATAAAGTTTATCGTCAACTTAGGTTCCTGATTCATGAGATACATTCGTCTTTTGTTTGCTTTCAGTAAAATCACAGGAAAGCATTGTGAATTTTGGTTAATTTAGTTTCACAATTTTCCTATAAAAATAACTATCGGGGGCGTAAAGAAACAGAGTCATCAATATTCGACCCACCTTTCTAGCAAGTGCGACCGGAAAGCCGAGTTTATAAATAGGATATCATATGAATCTATATTCAGTAAGCCGGAACCGTTCCTTTTAATCTTAGACCTGATTGGTTATCTTTACACTAGGCTTTTAAGTAAGAGATAAGAGCTGCTAGTTTTACTTAACTAAAAATTCGTGTGTGAAGGCCTAAGTAAAATCTCAAGTAACTTTACTTTGCATCTCATTTAAGTCGGAAAGTTGAAACGATTCAAGAAAATTTCAAGCGACTTGAAAACCATCCTTATGACCGACTTAGCTCAGTGACTTGCGGTTACTTACTTCTTGAGAAAGGCAAAACATGTTAATCAATCTTAATTATGTTGCGTGGGAAAATAGCCTTAAGTTTCCCTGCTAGCAGAGAGACCTCTGCTTAAGTTAACCTGAAGTAAAAAAGAATCGGTTGTGTGTAAAGCTTTATTTTACTTGAAGTAATTAAAATTTACTTGTCTTAAAATAATTCTTAGCTTTTTTAGGCTCTAGTGTAAAGACTACCATTATTTTCGAATGTTACTGTAATCAAACGTTGAACAGGGGAAGGGGAACGGGGGATGGTGGACAGGGAACGAGTACGAGAAAATAACAGCTAGATTAAACAAAGAATTGGAAAAGAAGTTACCGCTGGGGTTAGGGTTCAAGTGAGCTTTTGTATGCAAGTTTTCATTTTTCCTGTTCTCCTTGCTCGTTCCCCGCACGCACGTTCTGGCGACTTGATTAGCCATGATGCTTTACCGGCAGTTTTTCATTTTTTCCTACAAGTAACAATTTGCTAGATCCATTTAACCCTTTAATCCTAGAGTGATTAGCATCAAGTTTCTTCTTGTAATATCAATGCTTTGTAAATCAGAGTGGTCATGGGAATAACGGACATGATCACAAAAGAAAAATTTGCTTGATATTTTATGAATGGAAGCAACAAATAATAATTCAAATTTTGATCTTAGAGTTCAACGGATTTTAACCTTTATTTTCTTGAACACTGTCGAGTTAGCTATCGCCTAGCCGCCTGAAATTGCAAAAATATTAATTCACTCAAAACCTAGCTCAGTCAGTTTCCCTAGCGCTACATTGCTCTTTTTTGCAATATGTAACCGAGCTTTTGATAAAACTCTACTCCAGTGTTACTCAAACAGTTTCTCAGTTTGAGAGCGATCAGACTGAAAACCACGGGGTTATAACTTGTACATCAAGACTGCGAGGCATCTTTTATTCATGGTTACAGTTATATCTTTTTTATTCATTCACAAGTTGTAATAAAATGAATAAATATAGACCCTCTCGAGTACGTAATTCGTACACTTAATTAGTTCAGAATCGAGTAAGCGATGATTGAAGGCAATTGAGATTGTTAGAGGCTATTAAACGTAAGAGCCGTTTTCGTAGTTGTAATTTTTCACCGCTTGTAGCCATTACGTGATCTATGGTTTGCCGCAGCCTATCCTTCAACTCCGTCTCAAGCCTTATTTTGATACAGGTTGGCGCTTTATCTCGATCCACAAAACTAGAAGTACTCTGCAATTTATTTTTTAAAGAGTCAGGGTTATTTTCAGTTACTAATATTTTCCACCGCATCATTTCAGCTGCAGTAGAACCCCTATGTGCAACCACCCCTGGTAAGCGACCACCAATCCAAAACGCCACAGTTTAAGTCTTACAGTTGGAGCCTCTCAGTCGTAAAAGACCACCTCCTGTGAGCGACCACGACCACTATTTGGGGCTGACGGCTGACAGTTAAATTTTGGAGCTTTTACAGTTGATGGTTATTCAGTTGAAATTAACAATGCAATTTCCAAATTTCTAGGAGCCGGCATTCCGTGGAGATCAGCTGAAATAGTGAGATTGAAAATACTTTGAGACTTTTTGACGTTTAATATTAATCTGCATGTTTGACAGTTCACGGTAAAAAATAAGCTTTTTAATTTGGCGTTTGACGGTTAATTTTTGGCCGTTTGATGGACGGCTGACGGTTAACCCCATTGAGACCCTCTTACAAGCAACGGCTGAGGATTTCAACCAGTAACGATCGAGTATAAAAAGGGGTTACGTAATCAATTACATAATATAAACCCGAGACCACCGATTACAGGTCCGACGCGTTGACCATTCAGCCAGCTTCCTTGGTATATGTAAGCTGCCTGATTTTCCCTGAGTGTTCATCAAACTCTTGGGTGTGATCCAAACCCGTTTCAAATTCCAAATATTTTTGACAGATTTAATCTCTGGATTTATATTTCCAAATTTCTCAAAAAACCGGCTGTAAAAAATACTGTAAGCTTTAGATTAAGTTCATATTTTCCTCCAAATTGAAAGCTATCCCTTCGTTACTTTAGCATATTCATCGCTTTTAATTCCTTTGTCCCCGCACAGTTAGGAATTGTGTTTCTTTGTTGCAAGGTTTTTAAGATCGTAAAATGGGATCAAGTACCCTGCGAGCAGAGCTTTCTTTCCGGCATGCTTTTTGCTTTGTACGAGACGTTCGTGTGGCAGACATTCCCGTCGCTTGGCTTGCTTACGTTCGAACTTATTGCGTGCCTATTGCAACTTTGAATCACAGCAAGCGATCACGATTACTCGATTTGGGCGACGCCCACATAAATATAAAACTGTGAAGTTATCTTAGCGTTTGCAGAAAGATCCTAAGAGCGTAGTCAACTTTTAGGCCATCTGCATGGCCAAACTAACTAAATTTTCATTAATTACGTCAGCGTATTATTTAGAGAATGCCATAGTTACGAGCGAATGTGCATTTGGTGACGTCACGGCCTGGTCACCCGTAAAAATCAACCCGGCCTCAGTCCATTTAAGGAAATAAACCAAAAGTGCTTACTCAAGCACCTTATGTACCACATGTACCATAGGCATTGTATGAATTTCAAATAATGTAAAACTTAACTGAAACTCAACTTTCTTGAAATAATATTTCCAGACTACAGAAAGACACTGCACGAGACTGATCCACAAGTAGCAATCTATCAAATCTAGAAGGAAAAGTTAATCATTCTAAAACATTGCGAATTTTCGAAATCGACCTAAGGAGACCGCCAGAAACAAATAGCGAGAAACTCTGTTAATGACAACATGCCCAGAGCGTTTTGTCATTGGAGCTCAAAGTTCGGTCGTGTTTTACAAGAATTTTTAATTTTTATCAGATGTTTAGTTAGAATTCCGATGTTTGGTGGAATTTTTGTTTTTTTCAAGGGCTAATAATGGAACGTTATAACGATATTAGCCTCAATTCCCGGTCAGTTTCGCACTGAGTTCGAGCATTATCTCTCCTTCGGCTCAGCTTCTCTGTTACTAAACTTCTCTCCATTGTCATTTGGGGTAACAACTACTGCGTCAATTAGCCTCTAGATTTTCCTGTTTTTTTTCCTTTTTTTGCCGAACGCCTGCTATCAAACAAGGGCTTACGATATTTCGCAAGCTTTAGGGAAAAAAAGTATAATCGTGCTCTTCCATTCCTTAACATTATCAATCCACTTTTTTTTGTGTACCACTTCCTCTTCCACTTCGCTCGGTGCTTTGTTGGAGGGTTTTAGATTAAATGTGCTTACTCATGTTGTTTGGCTAGTCCTTATCATTTTCATGAACCACTCGTCTTGTTGCAACTGACTTAAGCTTCTACTCTCCGATTTTAATCTCCGAATTGATTTTGTTTCTGTTTATGGTTAGTTTAGCTTTCTCAACTCTGATTTCCACGCCGCTGGCAGCAGAGCTTAGTACATGATAATGCGCCACTCACCATGCTTACAAGCCCTACTCTGTTAATGACAGCACGCCCAAAATGTTTTGTTAAAATTTTCTAAATTAAAGATAATGATCTCGTTTATGGCCGTTTTCATTGTTAAAAATCCAGTAAAACACACTGATTTGTCGTAAGTATGGAAACATAAGTCTTACCGCCTTAATGTTTGCAGAAGTCTAAAGATCGGCCTCCAGAGTTTTTAACCAAGCTGCCTAATTCTCTTTAAATGCAATGGTACTATATATAGGGTGTTTAAAATATAAAGATTCAATACATCAAGTGACGAACCTGATAAACCATGAAAACGCAGTTTCAGCGCATTGGTATGAGGAAGTGGTGAACCACAAAGAAAGTCAATGTATGATGGTTTGCACGTCACGTGATGGAGGCCATGTTAGTGCTCAATAACAAAAGCATTTAGAGAGTGGTAAGAAGTTGAGCAAGGTTCAACTTTCACGCTAACGAGCGACCTGTCATGCATAGCCTCTTTTTTTATACGCGAGCCTAAATTTTACGCTGACGTACGCACGTAAACATTATTTGATACTGAAATTAACCGTAAATAAGATTGACACCAGCAGGGGTACTTTTTGGTACCGTTTCAATGCTCAAGTGAAGTGAACTAAAAAAGCCAAGTGAGGCCTTCTCAGTTGGTCGGCACGTCCGCACCCTTGAAGGACAACGTTGAAATCATTATTATGCAAATCTCAAATTACTAGTGAGGTATGATGAATAAAGCAAGCTTTTGAAGTTGCGACTTGTCATATATAAATATGCCATGCACTTGAAATGAGACTCGATGTTATTGCAGTTACAGCCTGCAATATATGTGTTTGTAACTGAAAATCCCAAAATCATTATTGCCCACTTATTGCGGGTTAATGTCCTTACATCACTGTTCCGCGTAGAAACTACAACGTGTCGAAATAATCATCGATTATTTATGGAGGCCGTTTTTGGAATTTCTTCGATAGATGGTAGGTGTTATCTCACCTGCCCGTCGGCACCTGACAACAGACTGGCGATTCTGACTAATTCTGCGTCTTAAAAGTTCCGAAGATGTAGGGAAAATCGAACCAATCAGATTAAAAAAGAAAAACAAATTTCACGCATAATTTTCATCTCATATAATATGCAATTACACATCATGGAATTCGTTGTCGTTGCCAATTGTGATAATTTATACATGTTAAACTCACATGACGCTAGCCAAAAAAGGTAAAACTAAAACTTTAAGCTTGTTTACAAGGATACTGAAGTGGTTGAATAGACAAAAACTCTTAAGTATTACTTCCTGGACATACGGGTTTCGCAAGAAAAATTAAATAACCACTTAGAAGACTCAAATTCCTATTGGAGCAAGAGTAAGGGTGTATATTCATTTGTTCGTTGGATTTTTTTGGCAAGAAAGCGCAAAGGCTATACGCGTATCACGCTGTCAATGAATCACGCCACCCTTGAGTTTTAGTAGCACTAAGCTTAATCGCGCAAGACTAATGAAACAAAAGGAATGAAAAAGGAAGGATTACAATTAAATTTAGCATAGTAAAGAAACAACTGCCTTCGCTTTGTTACAAATCCAACCCAATATCAAGCTTAGAATAGTTAGGCGACACACATATCAAACATCTAATTTTTTACTGACAGTATTTGCTTACGCAAGCCATTCTGAAGTTCATAAAGTTTATCGTCAACTTAGGTTCCTGATTCATGAGATACATTCGTCTTTTGTTTGCTTTCAGTAAAATCACAGGAAAGCATTGTGAATTTTGGTTAATTTAGTTTCACAATTTTCCTATAAAAATAACTATCGGGGGCGTAAAGAAACAGAGTCATCAATATTCGACCCACCTTTCTAGCAAGTGCGACCGGAAAGCCGAGTTTATAAATAGGATATCATATGAATCTATATTCAGTAAGCCGGAACCGTTCCTTTTAATCTTAGACCTGATTGGTTATCTTTACACTAGGCTTTTAAGTAAGAGATAAGAGCTGCTAGTTTTACTTAACTAAAAATTCGTGTGTGAAGGCCTAAGTAAAATCTCAAGTAACTTTACTTTGCATCTCATTTAAGTCGGAAAGTTGAAACGATTCAAGAAAATTTCAAGCGACTTGAAAACCATCCTTATGACCGACTTAGCTCAGTGACTTGCGGTTACTTACTTCTTGAGAAAGGCAAAACATGTTAATCAATCTTAATTATGTTGCGTGGGAAAATAGCCTTAAGTTTCCCTGCTAGCAGAGAGACCTCTGCTTAAGTTAACCTGAAGTAAAAAAGAATCGGTTGTGTGTAAAGCTTTATTTTACTTGAAGTAATTAAAATTTACTTGTCTTAAAATAATTCTTAGCTTTTTTTAGGCTCTAGTGTAAAGACTACCATTATTTTCGAATGTTACTGTAATCAAACGTTGAACAGGGGAAGGGAACGGGGGATGGTGGACAGGGAACGAGTACGAGAAAATAACAGCTAGATTAAACAAAGAATTGGAAAAGAAGTTACCGCTGGGGTTAGGGTTCAAGTGAGCTTTTTGTATGCAAGTTTTCATTTTTCCTGTTCTCCTTGCTCGTTCCCCCACGCACGTTCTGGCGACTTGATTAGCCATGATGCTTTACCGGCAGTTTTTCATTTTTTCCTACAAGTAACAATTTGCTAGATCCATTTAACCCTTTAATCCTAGAGTGATTAGCATCAAGTTTCTTCTTGTAATATCAATGCTTTGTAAATCAGAGTGGTCATGGGAATAACGGACATGATCACAAAAGAAAAATTTGCTTGATATTTTATGAATGGAAGCAACAAATAATAATTCAAATTTTGATCTTAGAGTTCAACGGATTTTAACCTTTATTTTCTTGAACACTGTCGAGTTAGCTATCGCCTAGCCGCCTGAAATTGCAAAAATATTAATTCACTCAAAACCTAGCTCAGTCAGTTTCCCTAGCGCTACATTGCTCTTTTTGCAATATGTAACCGAGCTTTTGATAAAACTCTACTCCAGTGTTACTCAAACAGTTTCTCAGTTTGAGAGCGATCAGACTGAAAACCACGGGGTTATAACTTGTACATCAAGACTGCGAGGCATCTTTTATTCATGGTTACAGTTATATCTTTTTTATTCATTCACAAGTTGTAATAAAATGAATAAATATAGACCCTCTCGAGTACGTAATTCGTACACTTAATTAGTTCAGAATCGAGTAAGCGATGATTGAAGGCAATTGAGATTGTTAGAGGCTATTAAACGTAAGAGCCGTTTTCGTAGTTGTAATTTTTCACCGCTTGTAGCCATTACGTGATCTATGGTTTGCCGCAGCCTATCCTTCAACTCCGTCTCAAGCCTTATTTTGATACAGGTTGGCGCTTTATCTCGATCCACAAAACTAGAAGTACTCTGCAATTTATTTTTTAAAGAGTCAGGGTTATTTTCAGTTACTAATATTTTCCACCGCATCATTTCAGCTGCAGTAGAACCCCTATGTGCAACCACCCCTGGTAAGCGACCACCAATCCAAAACGCCACAGTTTAAGTCTTACAGTTGGAGCCTCTCAGTCGTAAAAGACCACCTCCTGTGAGCGACCACGACCACTATTTGGGGCTGACGGCTGACAGTTAAATTTTGGAGCTTTTTACAGTTGATGGTTATTCAGTTGAAATTAACAATGCAATTTCCAAATTTCTAGGAGCCGGCATTCCGTGGAGATCAGCTGAAATAGTGAGATTGAAAATACTTTGAGACTTTTTGACGTTTAATATTAATCTGCATGTTTGACAGTTCACGGTAAAAAATAAGCTTTTTAATTTGGCGTTTGACGGTTAATTTTTGGCCGTTTGATGGACGGCTGACGGTTAACCCCATTGAGACCCTCTTACAAGCAACGGCTGAGGATTTCAACCAGTAACGATCGAGTATAAAAAGGGGTTACGTAATCAATTACATAATATAAACCCGAGACCACCGATTACAGGTCCGACGCGTTGACCATTCAGCCAGCTTCCTTGGTATATGTAAGCTGCCTGATTTTCCCTGAGTGTTCATCAAACTCTTGGGTGTGATCCAAACCCGTTTCAAATTCCAAATATTTTTGACAGATTTAATCTCTGGATTTATATTTCCAAATTTCTCAAAAAACCGGCTGTAAAAAATACTGTAAGCTTTAGATTAAGTTCATATTTTCCTCCAAATTGAAAGCTATCCCTTCGTTACTTTAGCATATTCATCGCTTTTAATTCCTTTGTCCCCGCACAGTTAGGAATTGTGTTTCTTTGTTGCAAGGTTTTTAAGATCGTAAAATGGGATCAAGTACCCTGCGAGCAGAGCTTTCTTTCCGGCATGCTTTTTGCTTTGTACGAGACGTTCGTGTGGCAGACATTCCGTCGCTTGGCTTGCTTACGTTCGAACTTATTGCGTGCCTATTGCAACTTTGAATCACAGCAAGCGATCACGATTACTCGATTTGGGCGACGCCCACATAAATATAAAACTGTGAAGTTATCTTAGCGTTTGCAGAAAGATCCTAAGAGCGTAGTCAACTTTTAGGCCATCTGCATGGCCAAACTAACTAAATTTTCATTAATTACGTCAGCGTATTATTTAGAGAATGCCATAGTTACGAGCGAATGTGCATTTGGTGACGTCACGGCCTGGTCACCCGTAAAAATCAACCCGGCCTCAGTCCATTTAAGGAAATAAACCAAAAGTGCTTACTCAAGCACCTTATGTACCACATGTACCATAGGCATTGTATGAATTTCAAATAATGTAAAACTTAACTGAAACTCAACTTTCTTGAAATAATATTTCCAGACTACAGAAAGACACTGCACGAGACTGATCCACAAGTAGCAATCTATCAAATCTAGAAGGAAAAGTTAATCATTCTAAAACATTGCGAATTTTCGAAATCGACCTAAGGAGACCGCCAGAAACAAATAGCGAGAAACTCTGTTAATGACAACATGCCCAGAGCGTTTTGTCATTGGAGCTCAAAGTTCGGTCGTGTTTTACAAGAATTTTTAATTTTTATCAGATGTTTAGTTAGAATTCCGATGTTTGGTGGAATTTTTGTTTTTCAAGGGCTAATAATGGAACGTTATAACGATATTAGCCTCAATTCCCGGTCAGTTTCGCACTGAGTTCGAGCATTATCTCTCCTTCGGCTCAGCTTCTCTGTTACTAAACTTCTCTCCATTGTCATTTGGGGTAACAACTACTGCGTCAATTAGCCTCTAGATTTTCCTGTTTTTTTTCCTTTTTTTGCCGAACGCCTGCTATCAAACAAGGGCTTACGATATTTCGCAAGCTTTAGGGAAAAAAAGTATAATCGTGCTCTTCCATTCCTTAACATTATCAATCCACTTTTTTTTGTGTACCACTTCCTCTTCCACTTCGCTCGGTGCTTTGTTGGAGGGTTTTAGATTAAATGTGCTTACTCATGTTGTTTGGCTAGTCCTTATCATTTTCATGAACCACTCGTCTTGTTGCAACTGACTTAGCTTCTACTCTCCGATTTTAATCTCCGAATTGATTTTGTTTCTGTTTATGGTTAGTTTAGCTTTCTCAACTCTGATTTCCACGCCGCTGGCAGCAGAGCTTAGTACATGATAATGCGCCACTCACCATGCTTACAAGCCCTACTCTGTTAATGACAGCACGCCCAAAATGTTTTGTTAAAATTTTCTAAATTAAAGATAATGATCTCGTTTATGGCCGTTTTCATTGTTAAAAATCCAGTAAAACACACTGATTTGTCGTAAGTATGGAAACATAAGTCTTCCGCCTTAATGTTTGCAGAAGTCTAAAAGATCGGCCTCCAGAGTTTTTTAACCAAGCTGCCTAATTCTCTTTAAATGCAATGGTACTATATATAGGGTGTTTAAAATATAAAGATTCAATACATCAAGTGACGAACCTGATAAACCATGAAAACGCAGTTTCAGCGCATTGGTATGAGGAAGTGGTGAACCACAAAGAAAGTCAATGTATGATGGTTTGCACGTCACGTGATGGAGGCCATGTTAGTGCTCAATAACAAAAGCATTTAGAGAGTGGTAAGAAGTTGAGCAAGGTTCAACTTTCACGCTAACGAGCGACCTGTCATGCATAGCCTCTTTTTTTATACGCGAGCCTAAATTTTACGCTGACGTACGCACGTAAACATTATTTGATACTGGAAATTAACCGTAAATAAGATTGACACCAGCAGGGGTACTTTTTGGTACCGTTTCAATGCTCAAGTGAAGTGAACTAAAAAGCCAAGTGAGGCCTTCTCAGTTGGTCGGCACGTCCGCACCCTTGAAGGACAACGTTGAAATCATTATTATGCAAATCTCAAATTACTAGTGAGGTATGATGAATAAAGCAAGCTTTTGAAGTTGCGACTTGTCATATATAAATATGCCATGCACTTGAAATGAGACTCGATGTTATTGCAGTTACAGCCTGCAATATATGTGTTTGTAACTGAAAATCCCAAAATCATTATTGCCCACTTATTGCGGGTTAATGTCCTTACATCACTGTTCCGCGTAGAAACTACAACGTGTCGAAATAATCATCGATTATTTATGGAGGCCGTTTTTGGAATTTCTTCGATAGATGGTAGGTGTTATCTCACCTGCCCGTCGGCACCTGACAACAGACTGGCGATTCTGACTAATTCTGCGTCTTAAAAGTTCCGAAGATGTAGGGAAAATCGAACCAATCAGATTAAAAAAGAAAAACAAATTTCACGCATAATTTTCATCTCATATAATATGCAATTACACATCATGGAATTCGTTGTCGTTGCCAATTGTGATAATTTATACATGTTAAACTCACATGAAGCTTGCCAAAAAAGGTAAAACTAAAATTTTAAGCTTGTTTGCAAGGATACTGAAGTGGTTGAATAGACAAAAACTCTTAAGTATTACTTCCTGGACATACGGGTTGCGCAAGAAAAATTAAATAACCACTTAGAAGACTCAAATTCCTATTGGAGCAAGAGTAAGGGTGTATATTCATTTTTTCGTTGGATCTTTTTTGGCAAGAAAGTGCAAAGGCTATACGCATATCACGCTGTCAATGAATCACGCCACCCTTGAGTTTAGTAGCACTAAGCTTAATTGCGCAAGACTAATGAAACAAAAGGAATGAAAAAGGAAGGATTACAATTAAATTTAGCATAGTAAAGAAACAACTGCCTTCGCTTTGTTACAAATCCAACCCAATATCAAGCTTAGAATAGTTAGGCGACACACATATCAAACGGCATTTTTTACTGACAGTATTTGCTTACGCAAGCCATTCTGAACTTCATAAATAGCTTTAAAGTGCTTGAGTTTCAGTGGTTCAACAAGGAAGTTGACGATGAAATCGTCAACTTAGGTTCCTGATTCATGAGATACATTCGTCTTTTGTTTGCTTTCAGTAAAATCACAGGTAAACAGTGTGAATTTTGGTTAATTTAGTTTCACAATTTTCCTATAAAAATAACTATCGGGAACGTAAAGAAACAGAGTCATCATGATCAATATTCGACGCACCTTTCTAGCAACTGCGACTGGAGAGCGAAGTTTATAAATAGGATATTATATGGGTCTATATTCAGTAAACCGGAACCGTTCCTTTTAATCTTAGACCTGATTGGTTATCTTTACACTAGGCTGTTAAGTAAGACATAAGAGCTGCTAGTTTTACTTAACTAAAAATTCGTGTGTGAAGGCGTAAGTAAAATCTCAAGTAACATTACTTTGCATCTCATTTAAGTCGGAAAGTTGAAACGATTCAATGCTCAAATGAAGTAAACTAAAAAGCCCAGTGAGGCCTTCTCAGTTGGTCGGCACGTCACACCCTTGAAGGACAACTTTGAAATCATTATTATGCAAATCTCAAATTGCTAGTGAGGTATGATGAATAAAGCAAACTTTTAAAGGCCCATGTTCACCCTAGATGCATTGCGCGCCCTGTACTCCAGAAAAAACATTTCGCGTAGTTGAAAATCGCTGCCTTTAGTGTGTAAGGTCAATCTTTGTTAATCTTCTACAGTTCGCTAAATCTGGTTTAACAGAAAGTCTCAACAAGTTCTTTTGGTATTTTTCTTTACATCTTCTCGGATTTTTTGGAATGATATCGAGCTTTTTTGTTTCTGTGAGAGTTCATTTCACTGCAGCACTTTCGATGGCGGCTCCATCGAAACGAACGGTTGGAAGCATGGTTGGAAGACCGCGTCGACGGGGGTCGCCGAAGTACATTGGTCTCCGTGAATCCGTTTTTTTAATTCCTGGAGAGATGGGAAAGAAACTCTTGGCTGTAAATTCTACAGACAGCGTGTTTGCCGAGTTCTGTCTACATCGAATGTTCAATTGTAAACAAAGGTCCCGTTGAAATCAGTTGAAAGCAAAACAAGCGAGTCAATCTAACATGAACAATGCTTTGTTTAATTTAACCTATGAAGCGAGTGATATCCTTAACGTAAACTTATCGTCTGGCGTATCACGATTAAATTCGGCTCTAAAGTAACGAGAACTCTTATTAGCAAACCAATCCTTAGCAAAACCTAAAGAAAGTGTAATACAGCGATTACAGCGACAAGACCGTACGCAGTGCCGATTCGACGCTTTGCAAACACAACTTCTCGCTTATTCTTTCGAGCACACATACCTAAGCTTCCTAAGAATTAACACAAAATAATAGATTGAGGAATCAAAACATTTCACAGTCGAATCGGGCTTCAGAAAAACCTCACCTGGTGCTTATTAGACGTTTTGTAATTTATGACCTTCATTGTGTTCATCGGACTCAACAAAGCATCCATATGCATTCACTACCAGTTTAAATTTTGAACTGCTTTCTGCGGTGACATTTAACCCCGGGCATTTAACGAAGTCGGCGATATATCTTCCTCCATTTGAAAAAGAATTCAAAGTCTTACTGGCCTCTCTGATAAAAAGCTGCAATTGTAGTCTCCCTCGCAGTCGTTTTTAGTATCGTCACGCAACGCTCCTCACAGTGGAAGCCAATCAAAACACTGCATTTGACAAAAGAATCGTTTCAAAACAAAAACACAAGCGCGCAAAGCCGTTTGGGTGAACATGGGCTAAAGTTGCGACTTGTCATATATAAATGTACCATGCACTTGAAATGAGATTCGATGTTATTACAGTTACAGCCTGCAATATACGGGTTGTAAATGAAAATCCGAAAATCATTACTGCCCACTTATTGCGTGTTAATGTCCTTACAACACTGTTCCGCCTTCGCTTTGTTACAAATCCAACCCAATATCAAGCTTAGAATAGGCGACACACATATCAAACATTTCATTTTTTACTGACAGTATTTGCTTACCCAAGCCATTCTGAAGTTCATAAATAGGTTTAAAGTGCCTAAGTTTCCAGTGGTTCAACAAGGAAGTGACGATTTCATCGCCAACTTAGGTTCCTGATTCATGAGATACATTCGTCTTTTGTTTGCTTTCAGTAAAATCACAGGTAAACAGTGTGAATTTTGGTTAATTTAGTTTTACAATTTTCCTACAAAAATAACTATCGGGGACGTAAAGAAACAGAGTCATCAATATTCGACGCACCTTTCTAGCAACTGCGACCGGAAAGCCAAGTTTATAAATAGGATATCATATGAGTCTATATTCAGTAAACCGGAACCGTTCCTTTTAATCTTAGACCTGATTGGTTATCTTTACACTAGGCTGTTAAGTAAGACATAAGAGCTGCTAGTTTTACTTAACTAAAAATTCGTGTGTGAAGGCCTAAGTAAAATCTCAAGTAACTTTACTTTGCATCTCATTTAAGTCGGAAAGTTGAAACGATTCAAGAAAATTTCAAGCGACTTGAAAACCATCCTTATGACCGACTTAGCTCAGTGACTTGCGGTTACTTGCGGTTTCTTGAGAAAGGCAAAACATGTTAATCAATCTTAATTATGTTGCGTGGGAAAACAGCCTTAAGTTAACCTGAAGTAAAAAAGAATCGGTTGTGTGTGAAGCTTTATTTTAATTGAAGTAATTAAAATTTACTTGTCTTGAAATAATTCTCAGCTTATTTAGGCTCTAGTGAAAAGGCTACCATTATTTTCGAATGTTACTGTAATCAAACGTGGAACGGGGGAAGGGGAACGGGGGACGGGGGACAGGGAACGAGTACGAGAAAATAACAAAGTAACCAAAGAATTGGAAAAGAAGTTACCGCTGGGGTTAGGGTTCAAGTTAGCTTTTGTATCCAAGTTTGCATTTTTCCCGTTCCTCATGCTCGTTCCCCGCACCCCGCATCCTGCACCCCGCCGCACCCCGCATCCCGCACCCTTCCCCTGCACCCCGCACCCCGGGGGGGAAGGGGTGAAGGGCAGGTAAAGAGGAAAATGGTTTCTTTCTTATCCTCAAAAGAAATGAGTAGTGGGGTGTTTAGAGCCTTTGTGAAAATAAGAACTGAATCCAATGAATTATTAGCTGTTCGAAATAAAATCCTCAAGAAGAAAGCATCTAGCTAGAGACTTTTGCCAACTTCTAAGTCAATTGAAAAAAAGTGCTTCACCGAGAACTGTGCACAATTATTATTGGTTACTCGGTGAAAGATGTAGACGATTTGATAAATTAGTTCCATACAATTAAGTTAAAGAAATTAAGTTGTGGAAAAGCACAGGAAACGTTTTGCAGAAGGAAAACTTAAAGAGGAGTACAGAATTTACAGTTAGTCCGGCTGGGATGAAAATTTTCACCGTTAAGAAAACGGGCGAGGACCAGATCTTCGTACAAGAGCAGGTTGTAGCAATGTAATATTTTTTTCTTAGTCAAAATGCGGATTAATAGGTCAATTGTCAATGCTCTTTTTAAAGTTAGTTTGATTTTACCTTACGATGATGTATATGGACCTCAAAGGGACAAAGCATCTTTTTTCAAAAGCAGTTGAGGCTGACTATGGATCAACGTCAGATGAAAAACAATGGCTAAATTTGATTTAAAATGGCTAAGAATTGAAACAATCGGCAAGATCAAGTCATTTCTTGGTTCAATTCTAATAAAAGAACACTAACTGAAATAAACAGTAAGAAACCATATAAGTATCAAAGTTTGCTTATTAATAAACGTATGGGAATCAAAAAGAACTATTTATTTCATACATACTGAGTGATTCTGTTTGAGTCAACCTGAGTGAAAACATGGTTCATGCCTTTAGACAACCAATCAGAAAAGCGAAACGGCTTTGTCACGTGTGAGTAGAACGTTTCGACCAATCACAGCGCACCCACCAAAAGCAACCATGTTTTCGGTAACTTTGTGTTTTCATTGAAGGTTTTATTCTGGCAGCTTTGTCAAAAAGTTAAAACGTTTAGATTTTTGGTTTGGATAATATCTCAAGAAAATTGCCAGAAGAAACTAAATAATGGCTGAAGGAGAAATCCTTCGCTTTCCCGCTTTGCAGAAATCCGTTAACCAATTTATCGAGGAACAGAAAAAGAAACAAACGTTGTCGATAGCTAGCCGAGATGTCGGTTTGCTCTCCGAGTTTCTGAAATCCAAGCAAGAAAGCAGAAAAATAGAAGAGATTCAATCACATGAACTCAATGATTTTCTGAGTGAGTTTGTAGTTACTGTTACTGTTTATAGTAATAGAAACGCATCAAGCGAGTTCTCGACTCATCCAATGAGGACAGCCCGCCTGCTGTACCATTTCAGTGACAATTTTTTGTCAAAGCCTATTTATTGATAGTACTATTCGGTGTTTTAGGGGTCATTTAATGATGTAATCATCGTAGACAGTCTTGAGTCAGTAAATTGTATTTCATTTTTGGTCAATTTTTTGTCAATATTTTAACTCACAACATTTGTAGAGCCCAACGAATGATGTATTTTTTATGGCATTTGGTTTGAGCTGGCCCTTGTTTCTTAAATTCGCTGGTCATTTCCTCTAAATAAAGAGAAGTTTTCCTAAATAAAAAGAAGAAATGTTCACTCAGTATGTATGGCATTAATAAATTACTTCATAGGCAGGGGGCTTGTACGGCATTTTCACACTCGTTCAGTTTGTATCAGAAATCGAACGAGCGAGCGCAGCATCACCAACTCGTGCGAAAATCCCGTACGCGCCCCCTGCCCATGAAGTAATCTCTATGTTCCAAATACATGTAACCTGATTTCTGGGAATTTTCTAACCATCAACGAAGTGAATGAAAACTTTAGTCTTACCGTTGTGATTGAAAATCAAGTTCAAAGAGCGTACAGCATTTCAGTGTCTCTTGCTATAATGTATATTAAGCTCTCTTTGTGTATAGAGCGTATTATAATCATTAACAGCGACTTATGCAAAAAAGGCGAATGCTTCAGGTCACGTCAAGCGTGCTCACCTGTGGACGATTAAGCAGGTCTCAGCGCTTTGCTGGAATGAGCTTAGGGAAGCAGCACACAGCAAAGAAAACAAACAAATTAAAATTATTCACCGGGCGTTTAAGCGCTTTATTACATCACCGGGCAAGACTGCAAAAAAAAAAAATCAATTGTCGATGAATTTTTGTTCGTTTCTTGCACTAACCAACAAATGATTCAAACTCATTTGGGAAAGTTAAGTTATTTTTGTTCTCCTAATATTCTACGTTTCGGTCTTCTCGGTCGTTGGGCGTTCTCATTTTTTTTTCCCCTAAATTACTCAAATTTCCTTTGGCTGGTCTGGGGACAAAACACGTCCCCAAATCCAAAACACATCCCAGAATCCAAACACTTTCTTGAATTCAAAAATACTTGCCAGAATCCAAAACACGTTCCAGAGTCCGCCTGAAGAAACATCCCAGAATCCAAAACACTTCCCAGAATTCAAAAACACTTCCTAGAATCCAAAACACGTCCCAGAATCCAAAAACAGTTCCAAGAATCCAAAATATTTCCTAGAATCCAAAACACGTCCCAGAATCCAAAAACAGTTCCAAGAATCCAAAATACTTCCCAGAATCCAAAACACTTTTGAATTCTGGGACGGGTTTTTAGATTCTGGGAAGTGTTTTTGGATTGTGATTGTGATCAGAAAATGTCCACAATATTTTCTGGACACGTTGTAATAGCTAGTACAACAAAAAGCGCGGCATGGTATCTTTCATCCATAGTTACAACTAGAGGTTTTACCCATTTAGAAGTTATAAAAAAACAAAATGCGAAGTAAGACCTTCTCGAGTACTTACGTTAGAATCGATTAGGCTATAATAAAAGGGATTAGGATTGCTGCTATTAAACGTATCCGCATCTCATCTTTTTCATACTGACAGTTGCATTGTTTTCTGCGAACTTAGTTACATCTCCACCTTATCAGAAATGGTTTAATTTAACTAAGAGAGAATGTTTAGATGAAGGGTCATTTTTTGCTAGAATTTTTAAGCTAGTAACCATTACGTAAATTATGGTTTACCACAGGCTTCGGAATTCCGCCTCAAGCAGGTTGGCGCTTAAGCTTGACACTCGAAAACAGCTTAAGTTATTTTACTTATCATTTTTCACCGCTGAATTTCTCTGTAACTACGTAATACATGTTGTGCCGTTTAGCACATTTTTGCCCTAGAAGTTTATTCATAACCTGCTTAAAAATCCCTGTGATTTTGGAGGGGCACAGTCATCACTGTGATGACTCTTTGGTTTTGTCCATATCTGCCGATTTGATTTCCATGAGTTCGTTTATATAATGTGGTAAGAAGAGTTGAATAGGGGACAAATACCCTCTTGATAGGGATTACCTCTTTTGAGTTAGAATAGCCAAGAAAGATCATTTTTCATGTTTGTTCCGGCTCCTTCAGTCGCATTCTTTGGAAAGCCTTCAGTTGTTTAAAAAAAAATGTGGTCGGTCACTCAAAAGTCATTGGACTTCAACGTTCGGTCGTGTTTTACCAGAATTTTTTAAAATTTTTTAAATTTTTTTAAATTTTTATCAGATGTTTAGTTAGAATTTCGATGTTTGGTGGAATTTTTGTTTTTCAAGGGCTAATAATGGAACGGTATAATGATATTAGCCTCAATTCCCAGTCAGTTTCGCAATGAGTTCGAGCATTATCTCTTCTTCGGCTCAGCTTCCCTGTTACTAAACTTCTCTCGTTGGTCATTTGGAGGCCTTACTCTCAAACAAGGGCTTACGATACTCCGCAAGCTTTAGGGGAAAAAAGTATAATCCTGCTCTTCCATTCCTTAACATTATCAATCCCCTTTTTTTGTGTGTGTACCCCTTCTTCTTCCACTTCGCTCGGTCCTTTGCTGGAGGGCTTGAGATTAAATTTGCTTACTTATGTTGTTTTGGCTAGTCCTTATCATTTGCATGAACCACTCGTCTTGTTGCAACTGACTTAAGCTTCTACTCTCTGATTTTAATCTCTGAATTGATTCTGTTTCTGGCGCTGATATGGTTAGTTTAGCTTTCTCAATTCTGATTTCCACGCCACTGACAGCAGAGGTTAGTA